GGCATTTGGCTTAGTAACTTTGATCTGTCTGGTTTCACTTTCAATCACTTACATCCTACTTTTTATCGTTTAATAAAAATACTTTTGTTTATTATCAAGCCCCGTATAAATAATTGTTACTTGGCAGGGAGGCAACCACCGTGCAGCTCTCTCTTTCACTGATAAAGAGGGAGAACTTCTAAACTTTCTCTGTGTAAAACTTCAATACAGAGTAAAATGGATTTATCTGGGGGTTTTGGTCCTCTTTGGGGGGCTGTTACTCCAATTCTGTGCCTTATCTCGGGGAGACTAGAGTTTCTGGCCCAGAGGGCAAGATGGTAAGACACTCTAGGGCAGGTGGGCAGGCTCAGTAGCATGAACTCAGTAGCACTGAGTGACAATCCCAACGGGGCCCCTAAGATCCAGCACATCACAGGATGGACACCCCATCACATACCCTCTACCTCAGGGATGGGGATGCCTCTCTCCTTGCCTCTGCCTGAGCTGTGCCCACGTGTTGTCTCTCCCTTGTTCTGTTTCTGCCACCCGGAGAGGCAACTTACGCTGATCCTCCCGCAGCTCCTTCACTTGCCCCACAGGATCCCCAGCACCATTTCACTCAGATGCTTAGTGCTCCCTGTGGCTTGCTCCCTTGCATGTTAGTTCCTATGCCTGTCTGGGCTCCTCCTTCCCAATCGCCTCATGTGTTACCGCCTTACTCCCCCCTAGTGGTATGAGGGAGGCCCACCTGCAAGGTCCTTGGTCACTGCTGGCATGTCTAGCCAGACAGCCTCTGGCATACCCTGGATCCTGGACACAACCCCCTTATTTCCTGTTTCACTGGGGGTCCTGCCTTCCCCTTCGCTATTCTGCCCTTTCTGAACAGGGCGGTGCCTCTTCAACCTCCCTCTGCCTTGGCCTGGGAGTAGGCCATTCTTTGGCCTTTTCTTGTCTAGTCCCCGTTTTTGGGCTCTCCTTCCCCTCACAAGCCACCTCACCACAGGCAAAACAGCTCCCCCCCCCCTGCTTCCTATTCTCCCCACGGATTGAATTATTTCAGGCTTTCTTGTTTTCCTTCCTTCTGGGTAAGGCTTCTTGTCTCTGCAGAGGTGGGGCACTCTTTTTGAGCATCCCCTTCATCTGCAGGCATAACGCTGCTTTGGTTGGGCCCACAGCCTCCTGGGCCTGGTATCACAGTTCCCTGTGAGCTGTGTAATTGCCACTCAGGAGAGATTCAAATGCTGCCCAGCTGATTAGCAGAGTGCCCACAGCTAGGCTTTGTGTTTCTCCTGGTGGTGCCCATTCATACACACCTCGGTGCACCTAAAATATTATTCTGCACATGAATGGCAAAAATACGCACATGGATGGAAAAGATTAGAGGGAACATTGCCTGGGATCTCTCTTCCTATCTTGCTCCCTCCAGCCTGTACTCATTTCTTCCTACAACAGCTGACATACATAACCCTGCTGTTCAGCTAGCCTGTTCAAATAGCTGTACAGGTACCAATGTGCCTCCCACTGGGTATGTCTACACTACCCCACTAGTTCGAACTAGCGGGGTAATGTAGGCATACCGCACTTGCAAATGAAGCCCGGGATTTGAATTTCCAGGGCTTCATTTGCTTAAACTGGGCGCCGCCATTTTTAAATCCCTGCTCGTTCGAATCCCGTGCCGCGCGGCTACACGTGGCACGAACTAGGTAGTTCGGACTAGGCTTCTGAGTCCGAACTACCGTTACTCCTCATTCCACGAGGCTTCATTTGCAAGTGCAGTATGCCTACATTACCCTCCTAGTTCGAACTAGGAGGGTAGTGTAGACATACCCACTGTCTTTGAACGTTCTCCCGTACTCGCCTCAGCACCGTTCACCCCTGCTCTTTCTCAGTTCTCTTCTGCAGGCATGTTGACTCTGGAGTCCAACCTGGGAGGTGATAGGAGCCTTCTGCAGAAAAAGGTTCTGCTCCTGCAATTCCGTTGTTTCTTTCCCTTTTTCTGCAATGCCTCTCCACACTTGGGAGAGGAGGCAGGGCCAGGGTGGAGCAGGGGCAGGAAGAGGTAGGGTGAGATCTTGGGGGACGGGCGGAAGTGGGGGCAGGGCTTGGAGCAGAGGGGTGGGTCTAGCACCTCTCTCCCCTCTAGTAAGATGAGAAGTTGGCACCTCTTCCCCAGTCACTGAGCTAGCTGCAGGAATGACGTGATGGAATCACATGGGCTGTGTTACACGGACGATCAGATCACGTGATCACAATGTTCTCTTCTGGTCTTCATCTTTGAAGGCCACCCCAGCACCCTAACTCAGATGTGGGGCTCTACTACAGGTACACGGGCAGGCTTGTAAGAGAAGTTACAGAATGTGCTTAATTGCTTGGCTCCTTGGCAAATTACAGCGGAGCAAGCCAGGAGATCATCTGCAGCACACCACCTTGCTGCTCTCAGTAAGGCTACGTTTACACTGCAGCACTAGTTCAGGATACCAGAGGTAACCCAAAATAGCTATTCCGCATCTTGAGCATGTCAGTTATTTTGCATTATAATGGGCTCGCTATTCCGCCATCCCTGCAAACCTCACTCCACAAGGAGTAAGGGACGTTTCGGAATAGTGGTTTATTTAGAAATAAGTGCTGTGTAGAGAGCGCCAAATTACGAAATAAGCTATTTCGAAATTAGATCGAAATAAGGTAGGCAATTTGCATAGTTCAAATTGTGTTGCTTATTTCAAGCCTCAGGTGCAGTATGGACGCATCTAAATGGCCCAATTTTCCGTTAAGCTGCATGGCCGTCTATCAAAGGCCATGTAGGTGCTCATGTAATAATATGGGTTTTCTGTAGCCATATCGGAAGGCCTGTAGCCATATTGGTAGGCCAAAAACAAAAGCCTTCTTCTTCAGCCAGACTGAAGAGCAGCAGCCATTAGCTGTAAAGCCTGGAGTCATACTCACATTCCATCTAAATTGCATTAAAATAGTGTCACACCAGCCTGTGAGAAGGAGATCCTGTCCAAATGGCCCCCCGCTGTCACCAGATAAAGAAACAGATCTCAGGATGGGACAGAGAAAATGTAGTTAACAGCATTTCGACTGGCAAGAAACTGTTTACCAATAGTTGTGGTTGTGGAATCCGCAGTCTAGGATTATTGTCCTCACTTTCCTATTGTTTGTCTGTGTGGTCTCTGTCTGGTTTGTAACTGTTTCTGTCTTCTGCATAATTAATTTTGCCAGGTGTAAATCAACTAAGGCGGTGGGGTCTGATTGGTTAGGTAATTCTGTTACGGTATGTTATGATTGGTTAGTAAAATTATACTAAAATAATTGGTTACAGTAGAGCTAAGCAGGACTCAAGTTTCACTATATAAACTGGGGTACAAGGAGGAGACCAGGAAGAAGAAAGAAGGAAAGGAAGAAAGGAAGACCAAGAAGAAGGAGGGAAGACTTGAAAGAACTCAGCTCCAAGACCCAGCCTAAGATCAGAGCTACTACAATTCTTCTGCATGACTTTGCTTGGCCAACAGGGGAAGTCTGCCTGCCTGTATCAGGTTTGGGGAGTATGACCCCGTGTGCTTAGCCTGTGTATTCTCCATGCTTGGGAATTGTCAATAAATAGAGAATAGGAATATTACTGTGTAAGGCTCTTTCAGTGGCAAAAGATCCAGCAAACCCGCAGGAAATTCCATCCTGAGCCCTAGGAATCGGGTATGAGTCGGTGTGTAAATTAACAGGGTTGTACCTTGAGCCCCAGGAACTGGGTAAAGGTGTTTGTCCCTAAAGTGTGGAAGAGATAGAGAAATTTGTATGGGGAACACTCATGGCTGTGACAGGAAGTTGCCTCTTCTCTAACCACAGCCCCAGATCTTTCACATCCAGGGCCAGGCCCCAAGCCCAGGTACTGCTGTGGGAAGAGGGTTGAGGGGTGTCCTTTATCTCTGACATGGCCCTAAGGCAGCCTGTACCAAACTCCTCATCCCTGGGCCACCACAGAACCCACACCCCCAGCTGGAGCCCTTCCCCTCCCATGCACCCCAGTCCTCTGCCCCAGCCCTGAGCCTCCTCCCACCCTCCAAACCCTTCGCCCCACCCAGGCCACACATCACCTCCACATTGGTACCCATAATGAAGTTCATTCTGCACATGCACTGGTGCCAGCCCCTGTGACTTCTGCTACTGCGCAGGAAAAGTTGCAGGACTTTATTGTGCACCAAGCTGGCGCCTTGTCGATTCAACCCCTGGCTTCCCACCACAGTAACTTGCCAAATAGATATGCCCAGAATCTGTAGCCACCAAGAAAAGAGTACTCAGCCCTGAGCACGAAAGCTTTTTCACTGTGTTCTCACGACACCAACATATTTTCTCCTCCAAATGTTTTAATTCTTAAGTGTAATCATGTGCCTACAAAAGGAAGGAAAATAAAGCATCCTCATATGAAAAAGGCTTTATAAATGAACTACATGATCGGAGCAAATATAAAGTTCTAGCAAATAAAAACCATGCAAACAGCGTGGGTTGGTACTATAGAAACAGCAGGATTGCTAGGTAGAATGAAGTGGTTATATATAAAAAAAAGAATCCTAAAACACTAGGGCTGCATCTAGACTGGCATGATTTTGCGCAAATACTTTTAACGGAAAACTTTTTCCGTTAAAATTATTAGCGCAAGAGAACGTCTAGACTGGCATGTGCCTTTGCGCAAAAGATTTGCTTTTGCGCAAAAACATCCATGCCGGTGTAGACGCTCTCTTGCGCAAGAAAGCGCCGATGGCCATTTTAGCCATCAGGCTTTCTTGCGCAAGAAATTAATGTTGCTGTCTACACTGGCCCTCTTGCGCAAGAATACTTGAACAAGAGGGCTTATCCCTGAGCGGGAGCATCAGAGTATTTGCGCAAGAACCACTGATTTTGTACATTACAAAGTCAGTGTTCTTGCGCAAATACTCACAGCCAGTGTAGACAGGTGGCAAAATCATGCCAGTCTAGACACAGCCTAGAACTAGAAAGGACCTTAAGAAGTCATTGAGTCCAGTCCCCGGCCCTCACGGCAGGACCCAGTACCATCTTTTAGACCATCCCTGAGAGATGTCTATCTACCCTGCTCTTAGATATCTCCGGAGACGGAGATTCCACAACCTCCCTAGGCAACTTATTCCAGTGTTTAACCACCCTGGCATGTAGGAAGTTTTTCCTAATGTCCAATCCAAACCTCCCTTGCTGCAGTTTAAGCCTGATGCTTCTTGGGCTTAAATTAGAAACTTGATTAAATGTCAATAGCAAATTCCCCAGCAAGCTGCTCCTTTTAAGAGGCGACGCAGAAGCTCACTCTTATTTAAAGCGTATGTGGAATTTCGTCTTTAAACTTGAACACAGGTCAGCAAAACATCGCCCTCTATTTCCAGCAGGTTTATCTCCTGCAGGTTAGGAACTCGATGCTTGTAGTCAAACTGGTGTTGTCCATTCACAGCCACCTTAAAGCAGTGAGCGTCGCATACAATCCAGATCTGCAAACCAAAGGGAAAGGGGGAAAATGAGTGAAGAAATCCCACAAAGAGACCTTCAGAAATGAGGGTGAAAAAAAATTAAAGGTACGGGGAAAACTATGTCAACAGCATAAAATATTTGCCCTTTTCCCTCTGTCTTAAAAATACTTTTTGCAAAGCTGTGCTTGTAGCTCATAGTACTCAACATTCCAGGGCAGCGGTTCTCAAAGTGTGGTCTGCGGGAAACTAGTGGTCCATGAACATCTTGCAGGTGAGCCTTGAGCTTGGGGGCTCACCACCCCCCTGCGCTGGGGGGCTATGCTAGTGCTCCAGCCCTTCCTCCCTACAAGGTTGGAGCATCAATGCTGGCTTCCTGCAGCGGGGAAGGGGAACCTCATGGACCGGATCCGGCTGGCAGGGGAAGGAAGAGTCTCTGTACACTGCTGCTGCCCTTTCAGCTGGGGGCATGGTAGCCCAGGAAAGCTTTCCCCACTGCTCCCATTGGCTAGAATCATGACCAATGGGAGCAGCGGGGGTGATTCCTGGGAGCGCAGGAGGCACAGAGCCAGGTAAGCACCCCTTATGCTCAGACCTTGCACCCCCTCCCACCAAGACCCACACACCCACCCTGCTCCTCCTCCCCCAACCCCTTCTCTGCCCTCTCACCCACCCCCTGCGCCCATTTTGTCATCATGGGTGGTTGGCTGGTGGCACACTGAAATGTCTGCATTCAGTGAGGTGGGCTGCAGCTAAAAAGTTTGAGAACCACATCTCTAGTGCTACAGGATGTCATTAGATGTTTGGCTGCACGTGTGGTTTCCACCAGCCTGGCATTGGGATTTTCTGGTACTATCCTTCTGGAATGTTTTTGCGCCCACTAACATTTTAGGAATGTGAGTTTTTGCCGTATCAGCCCTTTTCTTGCCAGATTCTGTGAACAGAGGCCTTCCTTGACCACTCATTTAGCACAGACCTTAGGGCTTATGTCTCAGGATCACTTCCTACAGCACAGGAGAGTGTGATCGGGTAGGCTGAGCACTGGACTGAGCTCAGGAGCTCTGGAGTTTAATTAATGGGTAGCAGGTTTAAAACTAATAAAAGAAAGTTCTTCTTCACACAGCGTGTAGTCAACCTGTGGAACTCCTTGCCAGAGGAGGCTGTGAAGGCTAGGACTAGAGTTTAAAGAGAAGCTAGATAATTTCATGGAGGTTAGGTCCATAAAAGGCTATTAGCCAGGGGATAAAATGGTGTGCTTGGCCTCTGTTTTTCAGAGGCTGGAGAGAGATGGCAGGAGACAAATCGCTCGATCATTGTCTTCGGTCCACCGTCTCTGGGGTACCTGGTGTTGGCCACTGTCGGTAGACAGGATACTGGGCTAGAAGGACCTTTGGTCTGACCCAGTACGGCCGTTCTTCTGTTCTTATGTCCTTATGGAGTTCTGATGCCAGCTCTAACTGGTTTGCTGTGTGGCTGTGGACAAGTCATTTAACCTCTATGTTTAAGATTTCCCATCTATAAAATGGGGTTATCGATATTTTCTAACTTATTCCACAGGGTCGAGGAGAGGACTGGTTAGCTGATGGGGCTCCACAGCTCTGAAAATGTCAAATATTAAGGCCAGGGCTACACTACACCAGGCATTCGACTTCAGATATGCATCTCCACCTACGAGAATTATGTAACAGGAGTTGACATACCTTACATCGCATTTCTGGGGTGCAGGAGGTTGACAGGAGAAACTCTCCTATCAACTTCTCTTACTCCTCATGACCTTGTGGACTATTGGAGTTGATGGGGGCACCATCAGCATTTGATTTAGTGGGTCCTTTCTAGACTGACTAAATCAAACCCCCAGAAATCAATCTCCAGACCATTGGTCTCTGGTTAAGTATAGACAAGGCCTCAGTGTTACTCCTCTTGGATTCACACTTGTACAGCACTTTCTCTGGCAAGTCTGCCTGCAGCAGAAATATATATGAATGGTAAAGTCTTTATGCAGCCAAATGGAGGGACATTTCCATCTGATGCCAGCTAGTCACTGGCTTATTCGCTGAGGCACCAGGACTGTACTGTTATCCCAACTGCAAATACTGAACTAAACTGTCAAAAGTGACTAGGGATTTTAGCACCTCACAATTTGGGCCCTTAGGTTGAGACACACAGAAAAAAGCCATCATTTGCAGAGCGCTGAGCACTGGCCATCTTAAAAAAGCAGGCCCCTTTTATGGGTCTCAAACTGGACACCCAAATGTCACGAGCCACATCACAATTTTTCTCTGCCTCAATGTGCCTAAGCGCATATAAAAGCCTTGAAGGCCGAGAGCAATTTGCCCGCTCATTAGCATCATGAGCGGCTAGTTTAAAAAAAGGTTTTGCTCACTATGAAGCCTTTCCCATGGACGAATGGCATGTCACTTGATAGGCTACGTTCCTCTGGCCCCCAGATCTGATTCAACTTAGTGTTGCGGACAATGGCTTTCTCAGAGAATCTTGGGTTCAGCTGGAAGGCAATATCTTCATCTCGCTTCAGATTGACATGGAATCTAAACACACCAGAGACAAATCACATGGCTGAAACCCCCTCACTTATAGACAAACAAACAAACAAATAAAACCCCCATTCAGTACAGTTTTCACTGGGGAACGCCTCCCGGGGAACTAGAAACTGTGAAGTGCAGGCAAGAATTAAGCATAATAACACACACATGCATTTAAGGCCCTGAAAATGTAACTCCCTTTCATGTTGTAGCTGCAATTTGTCACTAGTTCAATTAGTTAACAGTTGGTATCAGTTCTACGGCACTGAGTCATCCACTGTCTTCATTTCAGAAACGCTGAGCAACTGCCGTTCCCATTCACCAGTACCCGATTTACGCACAAGCTAAATAAGCTACAGCGTTGGGCCTCAGATTATGAAGGGCCTTTAAATGCAAAAAAATTATAAGTTGCACCTCAGTGAATCAGAATTTTCTGGTCTGGCGACATCCGTGGTCCAGGATCAGGGAGTCCTAGCATGCTGTGGTGTGTCTGGGGGCGGGGCGGGGGGGTTAGGAGGCCAACACTATGTGGGGTGGGAGGGCTGAAGCCACAAAACCTGGTGCATGGCTCCTCTGGGCTGTGGGGATCCGGGAGCGAGCAGGTAGCAGTTCAGCTGGGCTGAAGGGGGAGCTGGGAAGCCCAGGTGGAGGGAGGATAGAGGGGGGCAGGGCAGGGGGTGGAGTCGGCAGCATGGGGGCCAGAAATGACCTTCTCTGATCACAAGCTAAAGAAGCTGCAGCTTTGGGGCTCAGATGATAAAGGGCCTCTAAATACAAAAAAATTAGAGGTTGCACCTCTATGAACCAGAATTTTCTGGTCTGGCAACATCCAGGATCACGGATGTTCCAGGATCAGAGGGTCCCGGCATGTTGGGAGGGGGGGTCGGAGGTCAGAACCATGCAGGAAGTGGAGCACACAGCCCAGCTGGGTTGGGGGGTAGGAGAAGCAGGAGCCGGGAACTGGCGCATGGGTCAGCTGAGCTGAAGTGGGGGGAAGCCATGAAGCTTGATGGGCAGCTCAGCTGGGCTAAGGGGGTCTGGGAGCCAGCGTGTGGCTCAGCTGGGCTGCAGGGGTTGCTGAGAAGCCCAGTTGAGGAGGGGGAGCAGGGCAGGGGGCGAAGTCGGCAGCAGCAGGGCCAGAAATGACCTCCTCTGGTCTGGCAAAATCCCTCCTCCCGGACCAGTCAGGTCCCCAAGGTGCTAGGCCAGGGAGGTCCAACCTGTACCAGTCAAGATGCTAGGCCAGGGAGGTCCAATCTGTACCAGTTTTTAGTTACATCCTCGCTTAGGTACCGGTATATTCACAACTATAAAACTTCATTATTTCTATTTTCATAGTGCTTTCTATTAGAATAAACACATGTTTTGGTAATGCTCTGGGGGCTCTAAAACTTGATGTTGCTCAGGACCTCCTTGTATCTCCCAGCCCTGCCTTTCCCTTCCCATGGAAGTTGTAAGCCATCCTCTCCTCTGGGGATCAATTACCAGAATGGGACTAAAGTCAGGCAGTTAAATGTGTATGTGGCCACCTGTGCTTGAAATTCATTTTTCTTGCAGTTAATTGCTGGTGCAAAGGAGGTAGAATGCTTGGCTGAGGCCCCTTTAAAAATTCTGCCCTTAAAACGCGACCCACAATTTTGACTCATCATTATTTTATTTGTTATGTTAAATGCAACAACGAGCTTAGTCAAAAGGCTGGAAAGCTTTAGATTAAATATATTTGGAGACACTGTACCACTAGCCCCTTCCCATTGTACAGTCCTCTCCTGGTAAAATACCATTGTCGTTTTCAGAATGGCTTGGCTGACCTGTCACATTCCTATGATGAACACCATGCAACAAAACTTCTAATGAGGTCTAAAAAGCAGGCTCTGGCTTCTTTGGGAGACATGCTTTTGCTCCCTGCAGGGTGACAATGTCACAGCTGTGCGTGAACACATTAGCTGACCAGGAACTCCCAGGTGCTCTTAGTATCTCTAGCTAGGGGCCCTGACAGATACCTCTCCTCAGCAAAAACAAGTAGTCCTGTAACACCTTGCAGTCTAACAAAAATATAAGTACAATATCATGAGCTTTCATGGGCACAACCCATCCGAGGAAGTGAGTTTTCCCCACAAAAGCTCATAATGCTCTCTCTCGCTCTCTCTCTCGCTCTCTAAATCTCATGATTGTGTGTGTGTGTGTGTGTGTGTGTGTGTGAGAGAGAGAGAGATGGTGAGCTAAAAAGCAGTTCTGTGTGTGTGTCTGTATGTGTGTGAGAGAGAGAGTGAGAGTGACTCTGTTCATCTGTCTGTCTATTTGTTCATGAACTCCTCCTAAATGGTAAAAGTTAGGGTCACTAAATTCGGTATTTTAGAGGGAAGTATCTCAAAATAGCAACGCTGTGTCCAAAATAACGGACGCACTCTTTCGCCATCCCTGTAAACCTCGTCCTACGAGGAATAAGGGATGGATCGAAAAATCACTTTTTTTATTTGGTGCCATGTAGACGTGCCAAATGAGGAATAAGGAATGGATTGAAAAATCACTTTTTTTTTTATTTGGTGCCATGTAGACGTGCCAAATTTCAAAATAGCCTCTTCTGAAATTAAAGTGAAAAAAGATACGCAATCTTTGAATTTAGAGTGCAGTCTAGACATAGCCTAAGGCGGTACAGGACTGCTCGCTGCTTTTCACCTCCACAAGTTATTCCGCACAGACAGACCCCCTCCGGTCATGGAAGTGAATGGGTCCAGTTGGCAGCCCAGCTTTGCCAGCAGGGCTAAGATTTGCAAACCAAGAGTCAAATCTTAACTCTTAGATGGACAATCTGGCTGAAACTGAAATCAGTTGCCAGCCCAGCAACCTACCCTGACTCTCAAAGAAGTCAATGCAGAGGCTTTCAAGACCTCAATGGGAACTGATCCAGCCCCCAAACTTGTCCATCAAACACCCACTGTACAGTGGGTGTACTTGCCATGGCTGTTACGGGCATACAGGCATGTTGTGCAGCTGAGAGGGAGGTGGGGGGTGGGGAGAGGGAGAAACACCAGCCAGGTATAAAGCAAAAGATGAGAGGAGAAGTCAATGGGAACTGTGTTTGCATACAGAGGGATTGCAGAATTCAGCCTTCAGGCAGCTATCTCAAATAAAGCAATGACTGTATACTGGGGGAAAATCCCTTACTGACAACCGCATCTTCTCTGAACGTCAGAGACATCTACCTCTGGCTGCAGTGCAGGCACAGGGCTGTTTCTGCTACCTACCTGTTAGCTTTAGGCAGAGAGATCCCAGTTATTATCACAGATTTTGATGGAGAAAGTCCTCCAGCCATGGAAGTGCGATATGGCATAGGCTAGTGAAAGATACAGGAAAAGAGGCTTAAAATGAATCCTTCAAAACAGATTTGCTGTATATTCCCCCCCACCGGGGGGAATCTAATAAATGCACGTTTGTTCAGAAAGTTACCAAGGGCGTTAGAGCCTCGAACACAAGAGTCCTGATGTTGAGGTCCATTTAGAACAGTTGTGACCAATGAAATGGCAGCAGTTCTCCAGGGTTAGCCCCTGCTGGGCTGCTGCCACACTTATTTCCTTGCACCTCTGCACGTATGGGTGATGGCAGCTCCCATTGGCCAGGAACGGCGATCCGTGGCCAATGGGAGCAATGATCCCCCGGGCCTGCAGAGGCACAGGGAAATATGGCGGTGTGACTGCCCGCCAAAGGCTAACCCTGGCAGGCTGGATCCGGCCTGTGGGCCAGTATTTGCCCAGGCCTGATGTAGAGGATGGATGATTCTTTCGCCTGTCATCTTGCACTGCATTAGGCATTGCCCTGCAGAAGACCAAAACACCAAAACCAAAACCAACCAACCAAACAAACAAACAAAAAAACCCCAGATCCAAAGAAGCAGGCCAGGCTTGGCTCTGGGTTTGAACACTGCATCCTGTGGGGCTCCTCCTCCTCCATAGGACAGGTACAGCACAGGGAATGCAAGTCTAAACTTTCCAGCATTCTCTGAGCAGATCTTGCAGGGAGCCCCTCAGAGGGGCGAGAAACAAGATTGGTCTCTGTGGCCTATTTACTCATTGGCTTCTGCCTCTCTAAAAACACCCCCGATCAGCACACACAAGCTTGGTCTCTGTGGCCTATTCACTCATTGGCTTCTGCCTCTCTAAAAACACCCCCGATCAGCACCAATTGTGGTGACGGGACTCCTGAGAACTAGACTGAGTTCCACCAAACCACACTGAGGTCATTTCTACTCCAGGTTGAACCTCTCTAGTCCAGAATTCTCTTGTCTGGCAACATCCATGGTCCGGGATGATTTTTGTTAGCTTCTCATGGGTGTGGCCAAGTTTCCCACAGTCCCATAAAGTTTGTTTACAGTCCCCAGTCCTGGCTCTCAGTGTTCGGTGCTGTTAATTAGCTCTAATTTACCTCTAAATGTCTTCTAAGAGCCCAATAAGCAGTGGCAGTGTTGGTGGTGCTGCCAGACATTCTTTGGTTAGGAACCGCTCAGGTCCCGAGAGTGCCAGTCTAGAGAGGTTCAACCTGTACATTTAATATTTGCCTTTAGTGTTATTTAACTCAACCCCTCCCACCCATATCGCAATCTAAATTTGTCAGCTCACCAACACTGGGACCTTTCCCATAGGAAAGCTGTTCCATAGATGAACCTTCTGACTACTGGATAACCCAGTGGGTATTATTCTTTCCCAAAGTGACAATTCCGAGAAGTCACTCCTCCAAACAATCTTGCAGCTCTCTGAATTGACATTTTGAGCTGGAATTTTCTCTCTCAGATCTATCTGTACTTCAGATTTTAGAAGTACACACCCACCCCACCTCCCACTGTCACCAACCACAAAATAATGGTACAGAGACTTACATAAGGTTGCGGCTGGTACGGTTCTGGTGGCTACAAATGGAAAGGAAAGGAGAAAAGATATCACCAGAAGCAGGCAGAGTTGAAATTAAAACGTGATTCCAAATTCCATCAGAGCCACATTTCCTGTTCTCAACGGCAACCTGCTCATTCTTTTAACGAGGCCTACTTCTGTGTATTGGATTGGGGGGGAGGGGGAGGCAGTGTTGCCTGCTGAGGTCCAGCAAATTCTCTTCTTCAGGACTGGTCAGGTCCAGACAGTGAAGACCAGGGAGGTTTAACCTGTATATTGATCCAGGAGCAAGCTGGGAAGCTGAGAAAACTGCCTTGGTCTGAGATGTGAAAGACAAAGTTGGTTATTAACAAATCAAAGAATAGCCACTAGGAGGCGCTAGCAACACAGAAATCAAGCAAGCCTTTGTCAATGGACAAATTAATCCTGACAAAAAAGACATGAGGTAAGCAGTATTTTTGGCACGCTGCCATTATGGTCTCTGATGCTCGGTTTCCTACTGATAAGATTATTCAGAATTCTGTGGCTACAGAACACTTCCTGCTTTAGACTTCTGTGGGGTGAAGAAATAAATTTAGACTGTCAGCTTCGCTCTGTTTTCTTGCATCGGTTCATATAAGCCACCAAAAGGAACAAAGTGCAAAAAGATAGTCAGATGAAACACTTGCGATCCCAGCTGATACAGGAGAACAAACATCTGCAGGCTAAATATGATGAAAAATAATTAGTCCTAAAGGCTTGAATTAACAGTCCAGTGTGAATGGCAAAATCAGTTTACTGAAGCAATGTGATCTAGTGTTTCCAGCACCTATATGGGAGACGTGAAACCTGGGTAGGCACTCTTCCAAGAACTTCATACGCCAGCATGGGGAAATGTCAAAGGGCCAGATTCCTAAAGGGCCAGCCTCTCTCATGAGTTCTGGGGACTGGGAACATGCACCAGGGATGTTAAGAGGCAGGTAATTCGCTAATTGTGTAAGCGATGGAATTTTTATTGACTACACAATTAAGCGATAAGAGAGGAAGCGCTCGATCCCAGCTCACACCAGGTCTGGGATCTATCTCTGCTGCGGCTCTGCACTTTAAATATAGTAAGAGCCCGGTCAGGGGTGGCCTGTGAGCCTAGGCAGACGAGACAGTCGCCTAGGGCGCCGCCAGCCCGGGCGCCCGATGATAGCTTAACCAACTACTCGACTACTCGCTCACATCCCCAGGATGCATGGAGTAAAGTATGGAGCACCATGAGAAAACATGGAACTCAATCTGGTCCACAATCAAGAAAGCAACCCTGTTTGGGAAGCTGCTTTGCCTATGTTTATATCCCATTGAAGCGAAGGTGAACATGGTGCATGTGTCTAAAAGAGATTCGCTATATTGGGGATTGTTTATGATTCAATTTCCCCTGCAATAAGCTGAGACTTTGCTAGCGCTTTTTATCTAGCCTGTTGGAAAACTAGGCAAATATCCAGACAAGTTGATGTACCCCCTGGAAGAGCTCTGTGTAGCCCCAGGGGTACATGTACCCCTCGTTGAAAATCATTGCTCTGAGCAACCCAGTTAACACTTTCATGACCATAAGAATGGCCATACTGGGTCACAATAAAGGTCCATGTAGCCCAGTGTCTTGTCTTCCGACAGAAGTGAACAGAACAAGTAATCATCATGTGATCCCTCTCCTGTAGACAAAGAGGCTAGGGACACCATCCTGGCTCATAGCCATTAATAGACCTAACCTCCATGAATTTATGTAGTTCTTTTTTTAACCCTGTTATAGTCCTGGTCTTCACAACATCCTTTGTCAAGGAGTTCCACAGATTGACTATGCACTGCCTGAAAAAAAATTCCTTTTGTTTGTTTTAAACTTGCTACCTATTCATTTCATTTGGTGGCCCCTAGTTCATATGTTATGGGGACAAGTACATACTTTTTCCTTATTCACTTTCTCCATATCTGCCATGGTTTTATAGACTTCTATCATATCCCCCTTTAGTCTCCTCTTTTCTAAGTTGAAAAGTTCCAGTTCTTTTTACCACTTTATTATAAGCAGTTTGGTTTCTTCCAGGTTTAGTTTCCAGAGGACTGAAATGTTTTGGTCTAACTAAAGTCTTTGCACTTAATACCCAGGCACATGTGGGTGAAAAGTAAATGGCCTGAAATATGCAGAAAGTCAGACTAGATGATCTGAGAGTCCTTTCTGGCCTTGTAGGTCTCCAATCCAAGCATGGAGTCCAGCCCCCAGACTTGTCATCTTGAATGGGTTTTGCACACAAGGCAGCCTGGCTATAGGTCAGGTATGGGCAATCATTTTTGACCAGGGGACACTTCAGAAGTTTTTGAAGTGGCTCTGGGATGCCCCGAAAGGGCGGGGCCTCAGGAAGAAGGGGCGGGGCCAGGACACTTCTGTGCTACCTCACCCACAGACCCTGATTGGCCTGGGAGTGCAGAAGCATGCAAAGTCTTTGCTGCCCAGAGAGAACTGACAGCTGCTCTGAACAGCTGGCGGTTTCCTCTAGGTACCCAGGCTCCTGGTGGTGGGAGGAGACTTCATGCACTCCCCCCTGCTGCCCCCAGGCCAATCAGAGCTTGGGAGCAGGGGGAACGTGCAAAGTCTCCTTCCACCCTGCCATGAGCACGTGGTGCTTCTAAGTGCCGCGCACTCCTTGCAGGGTGAGAGGAGATTTCGCACGCTTCCCCCCATAGGCAGGAGGGAGCAGCAGGGCCTCTGCAGGCCGGATTGCTTGCTTGGCAGGCCGGATCTGGTCTACGGAGGCCCATTTGCTCACCCCTGCTGTAGGTCACTAGTATCTCCTGGAAAGACTTGCCTCCAGTACAGGAAATGCAGGAATATATCTGAGGATTTGTTTTACATGGAAAAGATTGGGATCAAGAAGCAAACACCCTCTCTTTCAAGGACCCCAGTGGTTCCTGAAATAAGAACATTCTCATTCACCGAGCTCAGAGCTCACCGGCATTTCTCCCCACTGCTGGTGGAGCCAAGGTGCAGTTCCATGCGTGGCAGCAACATTGGAAGCCCTGGCACTGACAAGCATCGTGTCATCTCACGACACCTTGGAACATGACATGGCCATAAAAAATACCTGCCCTCTGTCCATGCTACCACTTTCCCCAATAGCCTAACACTCGCTCACATTACTAGTATGCATGGAGTAAGGTATGGAGCACCATGAGAAAATATGGAAGTTAGGGTTCCATAAGGTAAAGCCCACACTCCAGAAGCACAAGGGTATGTCTACACTAGCCACCTTAGTTCGAACTAGGGTGGTAGAGTAGACATACCCTAAGAGGGGAAAAAGCCAGTTTGAGATATTTATCAACTCCACAGGGGTGCTCAGAGTCTCAATCCTTCATGCCCCAAACCTCTGGAAATACCAAAGCCACTCCAGTTCCCCGGTGGCTCTGAATACAACAACCCATGCACATCGGCACTTACAGCAGCTTTCTGGAAGCTGATGTCTGACACTTCCATGCCTCCCGCCACTCCAATGGCCTTCACTTTGTGCACTGGAATCCGGTGCTTGTACTCCAGAAAGTGATCTTCATTTACAGTGACCTGCCGTGCATAAAAAAACCAGAAGTTATTCTTTCAGCATCATGGATAACGCCTCACGCCCTAAGAAAACACAGGCTTTGTTTTAAAAAAAACAACAACCATGGCCAGGAACAATAGAGATGTTTCTATGGAGTTTTAACAAATTGAATGCAAACAATTCCAAATACCCTTCCCTGCAGCTTTTGCAATCTAAACACCGCAGTGCTGCCCTAGAGCCAAGAACTCCAACTTGAAATTCACTAGATAGTGACTAAGAACACAAGCAAAACCGACTCGGTGGGTTATAGCCACGCTTCTGTAAACATGTATGTCCATGCTTAACTTTATACATCTGAGCAGCCTCACTGAAGTCCATGGGGCTTTTCATGTGGCTAAGTTAAACTTGGGCACATGTATTTCCAGCATCTGGGCCTAAATTGCAAAAGTAAGCATTGTGTTTTAGTCTACTCCCCTTCAAATAAATAGAAAGCCTCCCATTAAAGATTCCTTTGAAAAGGGAATTGTTTGAATGTAATTCTTTAGATGTGAGAATGCTCCTTGATTCATCAGAATAGCCATTTCACAATTAATTTGGAAGTAAATGACAATAGTAAAAAATTACCATGAATGAGTCGTGTTTTACCAAAATCTTAACCTTAAAGGAGTGACCTTTTAAAAAAGGCATTTTGTATTTTCTCTCCTCTTTTCCCCAACTCTGGTTTTCAAAGGTATTGCAAACCACATATCCACCCTCTTCAAATCGTGGGTTAAAATGAAAAGCTATATCATTTTGAGGATTTTGGCTGGATGCGCTCTCAAAGTCTATATGGAACCTGTGAAGAAAAACAGTACAAAGATGAAATAAATGGAGCATGGTTAAGAAATCAAGTTTGTTTCCACTGGTAGCCAAGACAGTCTTTCCAGAGGACTAGCCCCTGCTCCCTCTCAAAGAAGTCTCTTTCGTCATTGCAATATTTCTGCACAGAAATCCTAAAGCTACACAGTAATTTATTGTCACAATCTATTGTATTGTGAATACAAACAAACAGAAACCTCATTGTGTTCACACCAAGCAGTTAAGCACGTTCTAACCGATTTTACATGCTGAAAACCAGCTCAGATTATACTCCTCCAAATACTTCTGGGCAGACATTTTTCCACCACGACTATCCCTCTGAAGTAGCGATGAGCAACCTAGGCTAGTGAGTGGGCCGCATGAGTGGCCCTTCTTCATCTCAGTGAGCCACAAGATTGTTGTGACCAAGAGAGTCACCTAGGATAGGGTAGTTTTGCTACCTGTGCTGGTGTACCTAGAATTTGTGGGCTGTGCCGATGAAATGGTAGCAGCACTTTGATTGGCTGCACAGGAAGTAGCCGGCTTGCACTGTCAATGTTGTGTGCAGTAAGCACACACCTCGATTCCGGTACCCCTGTTACTTCAGTAACACCAGTAGGAAAAAAATAATCGGACGGAAACCAGCAGAATCCAGCGCATGGACAATGGTAACAAAATGCCTTCGGGGCCACACATAGAACCCCAACGGGCTACAGGTTGCCCACCACTGCACTGAAGTTACTGGACTTAATCATGATTTTTAGGACTATTCCCAGTGTCACCATTTGTAGAATCGGGGCTCAGATGAACAACATGCATATTTACATGTTACTGAGTGGACTGAGATGTCTGCAGTATTTTAGCTACCCTTCAACCTGAGATAATGGCACGACTGTTCCATGATAAGACTGGAACGATTTATAGTTACAACAGCACATCTCGCAACAGTCAATTTCCTACAACATCCATTCTAGTAACAGCAGACCTGATCTTGCAAACCCTACCCCTGTCATAATCCCGTTGATGTAAAGTAGTAAACATCACTCAAGAGAGAAGCCACTTGAAGGCTCTTATTGGGAGGAGAATAGGATAGAAGAGGCAAAGGGATGTTTTGGATGCACTTTATAGACTAACAGATGTATCGGAGCTTAACCTTTCGTGGGCAAAGACCCACTTTGTCAGATGCATCAGACGAAGTGAGTCTTTGCCCATGAAAGCTTATACTCCAATTAATCTGTTAGTCTATAAGGTGCCACAGAACTTCTTGTTGTTTATGCAGATTCAGTCTAACACGGCTACCCCTCTGATATTTGCATGCACCGTTTTTACAAAGAAACCCACAAATAACAGTGTGACTAGTTTATGTTCTACTAAAAGGTTGAACTCTAATTTGCCTCTTGAAAGCTCCAGTTCAAGAAAGTACTTCATCTCAATTATTCTTCAGAGACGGGATTACTCCTGCATTTACGGTAAACCTGAATTGGGGATTCTATTCTAAACACATTAAAGATTGTCAGCAG